TTTTTTTTTTTTTTTTTTTTAATATTTGTAAGTGGATGGGGTTGTTATCATGTTCATGTGTGACCAGAGAGACTTGAGAAAGATCCAATGTTATGCTTCCCTTATTCACCACCATAAAGGCAAACGCCCTTTCCATAATAATTTGACACCCTTTTTATTGACCTCAAAGTGAATTTGAATAAAGTAAAAAGGAAGTATCAACTATCTTTAGTTTAGTGCGAATGATTCTGGTTTTCCACTTAAAATTTGGAGTACGTTGTCCATGAAGACTACGGAAAAAAAGAAAGTTCTTCATTTGTTCATTTCGTGACACATTTTGACATTTATAGTTTAAACCATTCGAGAAATTTACTATCGACCTTCGTAGGCTATTGAAAATAAAATAAAAATACCGAAGGATTTTGACTCCAAATCGAAGACAAATATTTTTTATGGGTTAAAAGTTTCTTATGTTACATAAAAACGGCAACTCATTCCTGCACAAACACAATAACATAAGTCCCATGAAAGTTTAAAAAAGAAAAAAAAAAAAATTTGAAAGCTACGTGCTTTCTATCTACAGAAACGAAGTGAATTCTTATGTTATGTGAGAATTTTAATCCCCATTTTTTATATGATGTTAAAATTTTTACAAATCAGTAATTAATCGAGAAGAAACAAAAATAAACCATCATGTTCCCAAACTGCGAAAAGGAAAGTTAAGGTGATGGAAAAAAAATAAAAAAATAAAAGGGTGGCCAGGATTGGTGCCATAATTACGGATTAGCAGGGTAAATAAATTGAATAACTTTTATTTTTTTTGAAAACTATATTGAATAAAATTTGAAAAGGAAAAATATTCTTATTATCAAAATTTTTTACTATTAACTTACTACCTATTTAATCACCATTGAATTAAAGAAAGAATGCTAAAATATTTTTTTTTTTTTTAAATATTGATCCAATAACAATTAAATAAATAATAAATTAATAGTAAAAATATACCTACTTATTTAAAGGGTTTTATAAGAGTTATGTTGTAGGAAAAGTGATCGTGTTATGTTATAGAGATTCGTTTTGCGTGCCAAAGTTTTTTTTTTTTTTTGCTGCGGGCCCCACAAAATGTTGTGTGTGTAGGAAAATTTTTGTGGTCATGTTAAATGATAGATGATAAACCCTTATTTAAATTCCCTTTTCTTGTCATGATAAAATTTGGGCATTGGCATTGGCAAATAGAAAATTTGGTAGTGAGAGAGAGAGATGGCAACATCCATCGACCATTTCTGCTGTATTGGCGGGACAGTCTGGCGTACTTATCTTTGTACCTCGTTTTTCTCGCTTACTACCATACTACCCTTTTTCTTCTTATTTACTTCTCTGCCCTTCTCTCCATTTTTACCATATCTATTTCAAGGCATTTCATTTTGTTAAATAAATAGAATGGCATATCCTTACTTTCATTCGGTTCATCATTATATGTAGATTTGTTTGTTAGTTGATCGGTTTTTTTGTATAGTTCTTCCTCTAAGACCTCAACACATACGCAGAGTCTTGCGTTTCGAGAGGTAAGATACCGTTTTTAATCTTTCTAAGGCTAAATTTCACTGCAACCGGGCCCAACTATTTTTCTTGTGCGCTTTACACACCGAATCATCCCACTTGGAGCAATTTATCTACTAAACTCGCATGATAGAATGGATAGATCATTCAATTTAAAATTAATATAAAATAGATAATAGAAACTAATGTCAATAAATTCTCATAAATTTTCAATTAAAATCTTTTTATCCACCACCTCACACCTGTCTTTTCCTCTGAAATTAGATAATCAGTTAAGCTAAGTCAGCATAGTTCATTGGAAGATGACGACATGATGTGGCTTTCCACACGTTTAATTCGCCACCATGTTAGGCAAAATATTTACGGTACATTTGTGGCACTGTTTTATTTGATGCACGGACCAATCAAAATAAAACATTTTTTCTAATGTGTATGGAGAAAAGATAATTTTTTTTTTAAATACAAATATCAATTTTTTAATAGAAATTATTGATATACTAGATGTACCGAAAATGCTCTCCATATTAGGATCATCGAAGCTAAAATTAAGACCGTTGCTTTTCATGTAGGCTCACAGGCTTTGTAGGATTAAAGATTATGCCTACTTGTCTATAGAAATCTATCAGGTTGTGTGATGTGATACGTGTTCATTAATTCAAACTTTCTCCTTGTAGGCTTTGATTTTGCACCTTGTGCTTTCATCTATGATTGAAATTGGGAAATCGATAATTGATTTCGAGTCTACTTTGAGACAATTAAAACTTTAACAAATATGTATATGACAAATTATTTCAGTTCGTGTGTGCCAATTGGATGGGGGGAAAGTTGCAGACATGATCACCCATACATGTTTAACCGAATTCCAAAAATAGGAATCTTCTTAGTATTTACATCGGATTCTAACTTTTTAAGTGTTAAATTGCCAAGTTCGAGAGAACAAGAGGTTTATGTGCCCCAAAGGTAAAGTTGGCGTCTGGAATGCACGGACCACCCTTTTCAAAAAAAAAAAAATTGCATGTCCGCGGTGTGCTTTGACACACGTTTGACATGTAATCAATATTTCGACACGTTTTGATACATGTTTTTGACACTCGGTCAAACGCTCCAACACGTATTTAATATGATTTTTTAAGGTCTAAATTTTATTTTATTAACTAAAAATGAAAAAATAATTTATAAGTGAGTTTTTTTCTATTATGAAATTTGATATAAAAAATTAATAAAGTATGAAAAATTATTTTTGCTTTATATTTATGTTATAGAATTTGAATATTTGATTGGTTATATGACTTATTATGGACTATTTTATGTATTAAATATATATTATATTATATATATTAAAAATATTATTTAATATCAAAACATGTTTTAACATGTCGAAATAAGATATTTTTTAAAATTATCGTGTTCTATGTCAATGTCGATGCACCATAGGTCGGCGTGGTTAATACGGATTAGCCCTTTTTCTAATTTTAAATTGAAATTCAAAAAAGTTGCATTCAACAATATGGCTACAATTTTTTATTTTTAAAAAAACATAAGAACCATGAGCATCATGGAATGGAATTAAAAATGAGATAACGGCATGATGGGACCTTTTTCTCATTCTGCTTTTACCTGATCTGTTCCTCACCTCATCCAAACCAATAGAAGAACCTTTTGGAGCAATCTTTTTTTCTTTCTTTCTTTTTTTCACTCTCTCTCTAAAGAATGTTTTCTGAATACGAAGTTGAATTGACATATCTCTTTGTTTCCGAATGGTTAGTGGAGCTAGAAGAAGAAGCATGGCTACTTTTGTCTTTGTAAAAAATTCAAATTTCAAACGGCATGTTATAAGTCAGAATCATTAGAAAATACCCAAACCTCCCTCCCCCAGGATTCAACAGATGCATAGCGAGCAAATAAATAAGGCTAAATTTTTACTTTACGGAACGTTTGGTTGAAGAATTCTTTTTGAATACTAGAAAAATGTAATTACTAAAGAAATAGTTGGAAAATGAGTTTGGTAGGAAAATATAAAAAAAGTTGTTTGGTTGAGTAAAATATTACTGAGAAAAAGTTGTAAGTTGTACTGTGCATATATTACTTTTTGCCATTTTCACAATTTTCTTTCAAATAACACGTTGAAAGTTTCGTTCTTGTACAACGAATATGTTGCTTTTTTACATACAATTGACAAGTCTGGGGAAAAACATTTGATAGGTAAATTTTTTAATCTCTTCTACCAAACGGGGACAATCGGAAATGCTGCATTCATTTAACTGGGGAAATTTTCAAATATCTCAAACCAAACGCCACCTTAGTTTTTAAAAAATATAGAGGTCATTGTTTTAATTTTTGAAAAATTTAAAATAAAGAGTCTTATAATTTTATAAGGGGAAAGTATATTATAACAATCAATTAGTGTTACTATCAATATTACTACTCATCAATTTTATCGTTAAATTGATTATGTGGATCTAACGATTATATTTATTTCCACCTTTATATGATTATGATTTGTCATATTTAATACAAAATAATTGACCAAATCTATTATATCATTACTGAACTAAACTATGCCCAAGTGGCCAAGTTACTACTACCGGTCACTTGAGTTATATAAGAAGAGAATAAATCAATGTTTAAAAATCTGGCTCCAACAGGATCAAAAAATATTAAAAAAAATATATTTTGTAAGCAATGAGATTCAAATTTCAATTTCCTTATTTAAGGATAAGAAGATTTATCATTACATCACTTTTATTTGTTGGATATAATGTTCATAAATTAATAGTTATTATATATTATTTTATATTTTTGATTAAGCCCGGTTGAACTACTGACTTAGTACTCTAGTATCTCCACCGAGTTGATGACCAATCTGAGTTTTAAAACACTACAATAAATCTTTATTTTGAGCTCTTGAAATTTGCGTTTTTTATTAATTCGTTATTGAATTTTACGGAAATTAATTCATCACTGTTAGTGGCAATAATGAAAAGCAAAGAAAAAAAATTCAATTTGCATATACTGACAACAATTAATGGCAACCTATTCCTTTTATTTTACACTAATAACACAGTAAAGATTAAATTCTCTTACTTTTAACAAGTTCAACAACTCCTAAACTCACGAAATTCCCATATTTATTAAGTTACATAATTTTTCATTTTAACATAAAAAACAAATAGAACTAATTATTTTATAGCGACAAAAATACCAAAAAAGAGAGGCAATAACCCAAAGATAGTAATAACAATAAAAGAAAAGCATAATTAGGAGTAATTGGCCAATTAGGAAGTTGTTGGCGCTTATTGCACTAGGAGGAGGACCAGCTGTACGTAGTGGCATATTGGTAAAAAACCAGAGAAAAAATGTCGTTAGTGAAACATTTTAATAATTAAATTAAATTAAAAATAGTAATAATTATAATATGCAATGAATTGAAGATCTAAGTTTGGCATCCAGGAAGTCCCCAATTTCCCTGCGACGACCCCAAAAATAAGAAACCAAATCTCAGAAAAAAAAAGAGAGAGAGAAAGAGAGAAAGAGAGAGCGAATTTAGGTGATAACAGACCAAGATTTTAGAGAGAGAAAGAGGAGAGAGAGAGAGAAGCATTATTAATGGCGGAAGGGAAGGAAGAGAGTAAATCTAGCGAGGAAAGTGTGAAACTGTTCGTAGGGCAAGTGCCGAAGCACATGACGGAAGATGAGTTGCTTGGAATGTTCAAGGAGTTCGCGTTGGTTGATGAAGTCAACATCATCAAGGACAAAGCCACACGCGCTTCTCGAGGTTCCCTTATTTCAATTTTCAAATCTCGCATTCTCCGCTCTCAAATCTCTTCCTTTTTTTTTTTTCATTTCATTTCCAACGTTCGTGTTCTCTTTGCCACATGGCACTGTCTACTTTCCAACAACCCTAACTAATCTCGCTCGCGCCTTTCCGTCGTTCGCAGGTTGTTGCTTCGTGATTTGTCCCTCAAGGGAAGAGGCTGATAAGGCCGTCAATGCGTGTCATAATAAGAAAACGCTACCTGGGGTTGGTGTTGCAATTTTTCATGCTACTCTTTAAATTTTTATTTATTTATTATTATTATTATTTTTTCCTTTTAGTTTTTATGATAGTGTTGAAAGTGATCCCTTTTTATGGAATGGTATCAATGGCTAGTGCTACTATATCAGTTACTGATGCTGACGACTACCTAGTAGTAATGAGTGTCTTAATTGGGCAAGAACATGTGTCTAATCTGAGCAATTTATGTGGTTGTACTTACTATGTTTGGGTAACTGACTCAACTCACTCTCACAGCTTTAAAGTACTTACTTGAATTTCATTTTTATTTTTTTTATTTCTTCCTCCGCGGTGTTTCTCATTGTGGTGTATTTTCTCGAGTCCTTATTGTATTTGTAAGTATTGATATTGGTCACCGGAAGCCTCTGGGTCAAGTTTTGATTTTGATGGGAATGAATCATCATCTATCATCTTAGTGTCTGTGTGTGTGCTTGGTGTGAGCGTCTGCAAAATTGAATTTAGATAATCTTGATTTTGGTTAAAAGTAAGTTTAGAATCAAGTTGTTTATTTTTGGAAACTTTTTATCTCAAAAGTAAGCTTAAGTAACAGAAAAATTACATTTTTTTCACTTTTTAGTCAACCGTGAGCTTAGAATTTTAGTTGAAAACAAACAAACGTGGTTTGTTTATTTTTGGGTCAAAATCACGTTTCTGGTGTCTAAAGGTACATTTAAGGCTTTCCAATGCTAATCCAAACATGCAGTTAGTTATTTTGGTTAGTCTAGATCTGACATGTAGGATTCAGTTATGAGCCCCACTTGTTGGGCATCACAGGGCTGGGATAAATCGTATAATATTAAAATTTTAGTTGATTTTTTATTTTATTCTTAATATTTCATTTAACATTAATATCGTTGAGGTCTTCAGTCTCCAACCTTATTAACATCAGGAAATAGAACAGAAATGCAAGTGAATGGACAAATATAGATTTTATAATGTATTTGATGACCGTGATATATTTTACTCCTTATACTTTTAAGTATACATTCAACTAATCAATTTTTTTTTATAAATTTATAAATATGTTTCATGTAATATAAGCAGATGCATCTTGTAATTTTCTTTCATTTTCAAAGAAAGGGTTATTATAGTTTTTTCACCCTTTAACGTTGACAATTTAAACATTTACTAGCATAATCAATGGTTCCCTGATATCCCGACACTCTCATTTGGGATCTTTGCCCTTGACATACACAAAAGTTTAATTTCTCTACTTTCTTGCTAATTGTGGATAAAAATTGGGTTGACTGTGCAACTCATTCGTGTGATTAATGCAGTGGCTGCATTGACAAATAAATTTCTGGAAGTTCATGGAAACCATATCTGAATTCTGAAAGTTCCTTCTTAGAAATCATAGGTTGAGTTATGCTTATAGCCCTTAAAGTTGGAAATGATGGGTGAAGCTGCCTGCCGCTTCAGCAACTATTTGTATCACATTCCTTATAGTTGACATTCATTAAGAGATAGTAGGAATAGAAATAGACAAATTTTATGCCTTGAGATAAACTATGAATCCTCTGATGAGATTGAACGGGGAAGACCCTTTAAATTAGTACATAGAATAGAACCTTGCCCATAAAAACAGGCTGTTAGAGATTTTGCAAGTAGAAGTCAATTATGTAATTATTGAATAAATAAAAGATTATCAAATTATGTATTAACATGTTAACTTTGACATGGTTGTGGTTTGGAAAACATGTTCATGAGCTATGGAATTTATGTTTATTATTTTCAATCCACCAAAAAATATTTTTTTTTTTAATGGACTTTTATCTCAGAAGATGTTTCTATGCATTTTTTTGGATTTTCTGACCTAGGAATTGTATTAAATGGAAGATATCCTTCTAGGTCATGCTCCAGTTTCTGGTGGTCACTAATATTAAAATTTGGGCTTCTGCCTACATGATAAATTCTGTTTGTTGATTATTCCAGGTAGTTGTGATCTAAATATGGATAACAAAGTGAATATGATTGAAAATTTTGATTTCTTGATTATCCAAAGCCTTCCATGGAGCACTAAAGTAATGATGTTATGCATGTTATTGCTTTAATAACCATGTGATATGATATTATTCTCATTCTGATTTGGAAGAATCTTTTGTTTTTTCTTTGGTGTCCAATTCAGGCAGCTAGTCCATTGCAAGTGAAGTATGCAGACGGGGAGTTGGAAAGATTAGGTGCAATATATTTTTTAATTTAATTAAAAAATTTGTTCAACAGATCATTTTATGAGATTCATTCATGTACCGGAATTCCTATGTTATATTGAGGACAATCCTTGATAAATAATTTGTTGTTGTTATTGAAACCAGAACACAAACTCTTCATTGGCATGCTTCCAAAGAATGTTTCTGAAGTCGAAGTCTCTGCACTTTTCTCCAACTATGGAACTATTAAGGATTTACAGATTTTAAGAGGTTCTCAGCAAACAAGTAAAGGTGCTGATTTTACAGCTTAATCCTTCCTTTATTCTTTTAGGGATTTGGTGTTTCTTAACCACAAAGCCTTATTCATAATTCTCCCATTTTTTTGTCAGGTTGTGCATTTTTGAAGTATGAAACCAAAGAACAGGCTCTTGCTGCTTTGGAGGCAATCAATGGAAAGCATAAAATGGAGGTCAGTGTTTATTAAAACCACTACCTGAATTTTAACACTTTTTAGTTTGGTAGTAGCGGAGTTGGTTGTGTAATATAATGAATGTGTTCATAAATTTCATCTGTGAATGTATTTGAGTAATGGAGGGAAGGAGAGAATTAGATTTAATGTACACGATCGAACTATATTGTTAGCTGATTGATAATATTTAGCAATTTAGCGGTACAGTGTGTAATTTTGCTGGTGCAATGCATTCAAAGACATGGTTCTATAACTGAAACCCTGTCTGACTTAGATGGCATGATTAATCATTCATACACTAATGGACTATTTCAGATTCAGTAACATGTTTTTGGTTCCTTGTATGTGGTAGAATGGAAAAGTGAATGCCTTTAGACTCAATTACAATTTTAGTTGTAAATGGTGTTTGCAGTATTTTGGACCTTCAAGCGGCATTCAGCCACAAAATCCTGTTGGTGAGGGACGTGAACATCTAATCATGTTTCTCAGATTTCATATGGATGCACAAATACTTATTTTAATTTTTTATCCCTGTATCAATTTGGAAATCTAAGCCTGGTTTTGTTCCCCATATAGGTTTGTTTAAGATAATGTTCCAGTCTCAAGCTTGACTCATTATTTATAAGACAGGCTGGAACTGGATCTAAGCTTGGAAAGGGAAACTCAAGCTCTGGCTGTGATGCTTATTATATGTTTGCAATAAATGAGCCAAGCTGAGAAAATCCCAAGATAGGATTGTTAAACATGCACAAACACTTATGCACAAGTTCAATCAACATATATAATTATAATTATAATATATATGAAGGATGTAATATATATGAATCAAAGCTCGTGAACTTGCAAAACGGTGCCTAGTGGAGTTGCATCTCATTCATTCACAATCAATTTGATTAGGTTTTACTAAAAAATTACTATTCCTCTTGGCAACTAAACTTCAAGTTAGATTACTTGTCAACCAATTGGACCTTTTTTTTTATTTGTACTGTGAAATTCACTTGTTTTTGTTTAGTTGATATGTTCTCTAGTCATACTTGATGAAAATTGTTAGCGATATTGCTAACTTGACAAGTATATTAATTCAGACAACTGTAATCTGATATTTGTTTGTCTTCTATAGGGTTCAAGTGTTCCCTTAGTTGTCAAATGGGCTGATACAGAAAAGGAAAGACTAGCTCGAAGAGCTCAAAAAGCACAGTCCCAAGCTTCTAATGTACCACATGCTGATTCTCAGCACCCATCATTGTTTGGAGCCCTGCCTATGGGTTATGTTCCTCCATATAATGGATATGGTTATCAGGTTAGTTCTGTTGTAATACTCTACGAGACTCTTCAGTAGCATTTTGATTTCTTAATTCATGCAGTTTGTCTTCTGCATAATCATGTCATCCAATAAGAAATCATTACATTCATGCATTAATGTTGGTTTCCTCTCTAACATCTTGATGGAGATATATATGTGTGATGAATCTAATGATAATATGTTCTCCTGATAGGCTCCTGGGGGTTATGGACTCGTGCCGTACCGGTTGCCAATGCAGAATCAACCTGGTTTCCATAGTATGATGCCTCACATGAATCAAGGAAATGCATTGCGACCTGATCTTGGGCCCAATATGAACCCTAGAAATTATCCTGTGCCTCCTGCAAGTTATGTTGGCTCTTATCCTCATGTGCCAGGTCTGCACCATCCAATGGCATATCCTACAGGATTGATTAGTCCAGGTCCTATGAGTAGTTCTCCTGGGTCCATTTCACCTGCTGGTGGAAATAGTAACTCTGCTACATCTTCAGGCGCCAGCAAAATTTCCGGGGGTCAGGTCGAAGGTTGTTTATCTATATCTTATATGTTCTTGGGTGTAAATGAATGCATACATTTATGTATTTTGATACATGCATATTTATATTTTAGCACCACTCTTTCCATACAAGAAGAAAAGTTACTTGGTGATAGTTCTGCTTATTATTCTATTTTCTGACTTAGGACCACCCGGTGCCAATCTTTTTATTTATCACATACCTCAAGAATTTGGAGATGAAGAACTTGCAAATGCTTTTCAACCATTTGGTAGAGTTTTGAGTGCCAAAGTTTTTGTTGATAAAGCAACTGGTGTTAGCAAATGTTTTGGTGAGCCTATGCTTCATTTATTAACGAATTTGATGGGTTTTGCTTGGAGCTTGTGTTTGATGAGCTCCCATTTGCAGGGTTTGTTAGTTATGATTCTCCAGATGCTGCTCAAGCAGCCATTGGTATGATGCATGGATTCCAATTAGGAAGTAAGAAATTGAAGGTTCAGCTTAAGAGGGACAACAAACAAGGCAAACCTTACTGATGAAGCTGAAAAATGGAATTTTGTATAATTCACATTGTAATTCATGACCCTTCTGATGTTTATACAATTTGTAATTTCTGTAACATGAAAGTCCATTTAGACATTGATTATTAATTTATTGATTTTTCCCTCAGAACGCCTATTGATTGTATTATCTTTTGTAGTTTCATACAGGATTAGAGGATTAGAGGATAACCACGCTTTTAAGTTTTCACTTTTTATTTTTATTTTTGCTGCCATGCAGTGAGGGACTGAGGGGATATTGTTTACACCAGCCACTATATGTTGTTGAGCTTGAGCCTATTAGCCAATCAGCAGCATTATAATTTTTTATATTATGTATTCTCAGAGTGCTTCAAGGAATCAAATAAAACATAAATGTGCATAAAATAAATGAATACCAATAGAATAATTAATCATATAATATTGTGGGGAAAATGTTTCTTCCGTCACAGAATAATAAATTTATTTTCAATCATCCCAAAACGAAGTGTCATAGTGGATTTAACTTCGTTAATGCAATCAAACCTTTTTTAACAAAAAAATAAAAATAAAAATTACCATTTTAATTTTATTAGATAAAATGTGTATATGCATGTAGTTTCGGGATTTTGGATTAGAAATAAAGGGTATTTTTAAAATTTTATATTTCTCTTTGTATTATAAATTTTGCTGAAATACCATTTGTTTTTAATCTTTTTAACTCTATACCTACCACCTTATAATTTTAAATTTTTTTTCTTGAATATTCTTTTTTATTTTTTGTTTTGATAAAATATAACAAATATTTGAAGTGAATCACAATAATTATATGGTAAAAACTTAAAATGTATTCAAATACGATTGTAATTGTATAATAAAGCATATTTTCCATGTTATTTTTTAAAATTTTCATTTAGTAATAAATCTTATTCATAGTTGTAATTTTTAAATTACTAAATGGGTAATGAATAAATAATAATCTGAAAAGAAATCGTTTTTTTTTGTGCTTAGAAAAAAAAAATTCTGTTTGATAATACAATTTCTTTTTATATCAAAGGAAAAAGTGTGTATTTAATAAATAATGTATTTTAATATTGATAATACATTCTTCCAATGTCTGTATTTAATAAATAGTATGTCAGGGAATAAAAAAAAATAAAAAAGTATTTTTCATTTACACAATTTGTATTTCGGCCCACAAATAAAATAATCCGATTTTATCAAATACTATTTATCACCATTTCTATTCTCCAAAATAAAAATAAAGAAAAAACATTTCTGGAAATGTTCTTCACCATTAGTCTGAATGACAGAGGAAGATTCATTTACTACCAAAAAAGTTTACAACTTTTACAATAATTTATAACTGTTGGATTGGCAGAAATCGACGGTGATTAAATTGGTTGTAAGAGTTGTAAATTTTTTTGGTGATAAATGGATCCGTTCCCTGGTATGACAATGAGAAATAGCTTTGTAGCACATATAAAACTATGAGATACATGTTTGATATATTATATGATACAAATTATCTCGTACAATACACACAAAACAAACAGATAAAATCCATTTTTTTCTTTCCCTCTATTTTTCTTAGTAGAAACATATTTCCCTAAAACTATAGAATAAAACTGAGTTCAGCCCATGAGGAATCAGAAAGAAATGCTCTCCTTATTTTATCTTAATCTAAAAACCTGACCTTCTAACTTCATTCTCCTTGGTCACTCCGTGACTTGACTTATTTATTCTGACACTATATAATAAATTCTTGCCTGCGCCTTTCAAGATGTAGCAACAATTTCCCATAATCAGGAAGGTTTTCTTTAATCACAGGAACTTGTTTGAAATTTTGAATCCACGCATGCAACCCAGGAAATTTGCTTGCCTCAATCGTTTTCATCCCCACAATTTCCTCCCAACCTTCTAACCAATGACCAAGGCAACCATATACTATATCCACCATTCCAATATTGTTGCCTCCAAAGAACTTCTTGTGCCCTAAACCTTCCTCTTCCATGATTGTGAGAGTTTCTTGTGCTTTTTTCATTGCTCTTGCTCTCTCTTGTTCATCTTCAGTGGGTCGGAGAAACAGTGTAGAAACGATCTAGAAAACAAAATCATCAAAACACCATTAATTAAAATACAAGATGATTCAAACTTAAATAAGAATTTCAATTTAGAGAATGATATGTAATAAGATAAAAATTAATTTGTACATAGAAAAGACATAAAGATTAGATTAAATTAAATTACATTACCGAATCCTCTCCAAACTTAATCCAAAATCGAGCTAAGGCTCTCTCATGGTTATCTTTTGGAAGCAATGGGTTCTCAGGCCAAGTTTCTTCGATGTATTCAAGAATCACACTAGACTCAGCAATGGCTTTGCCTCCATGAATAAGAACAGGGACTTTCTTGTAAACTGGATTGGATTGCAAAAGTAGCTGACTTTTGTTCTTACTGTCTTCTTCTATGTACTCATAGGTAATGCCCTTGAACTTTAGAGCCCATATCACTCTATGTGCAAAAGGGCTAAACGAAAATCCTAGTAGTTTGACATCAACCATGGTTTCTATGCACTATTGAGCAGGTGCAAGATGGAACTTAATAATGAGATTGATCTTTTCTTGGACTAAGAAGTTTCAAAGTCCAAAACATAGAGGGAGAATAAATCATGAATTTTATTAATTTCATGTTAAAAGGAGATAAGAAAAACACAATTATCGAAATATATGTAAAAGAAAAAATTTATATCATGTAATATGAGAATAATTTTTTTCATGAATTATACCTATTTTGCCCTGTACTAAGTTTTGGTGTGGTGTGTATACATCGGAACAGTGACCAAAGTGTTACTGTTGACCAAAAAAATTACCAGACTGCCACACTAATAGTAAATTTTGTCAAAATGCCACGTGACATATTGAACTACACTGTGTAGCGAAATATGTCACATGACATTTTGACAAAATTTACTGTTGACATAACAGTTTGATAATTTTTTTGACCAACAATAGCAAAATGGTTCCCGTTCCGTATACATCCCCATTGATTGAACTTATCGATTGTTGACTATTATTTTCGAACGTCAGTGCTCACGCCATCATTATAGTGCTCTTTCATAATAGATAATACACAAGGTTAGTTCCATGGATAATGTAATACGTGTTACACTGTCATTCCATTATATACTATTGCATCATTAATAGTGTTTAACTATGATAATAAGTACCTTAAAATCAAATAAAAAATGAAAGTAGTTGGCATACGTCAGTGACTCAGTGTGCACTTCATTAATAATGAAAACATTGTATTCAAAATAAAACGTGTCTCTGTTATAGCTGGCGGCAAAGAAAGCATAGGGCTTTTCTTTTGATAGGGTTTATTTTTGGTGAACAAAAGAAAATAACTATTTCAAGAAGAATTCTAGCAGGGCAAGGATCTTAAGTCAGAGAGTCCTCAACTGATCGGTCTTTTGTTAGGAGTAAAAGGACTTTCAGTATTGTTACCAAAAAAAAAAAAGACCTTCAGAGTAAACAAAGTTCGAGTGGAGCTTATTCCTTTAACGAAACTTATTTCCTTAATTAAAGATATTGAATTCGAAATGTCGAATTATCATTATGCAAAAAAATATAAGAGGTGTTTGGAAGAGCAATTTTTTTTTTACTAGGAAAATATATTTACTGAGTAAAGGTGAAAAAATAATTTTTTCTGGAAAAGTTAAAAAAAACTATTTAGTAGACTAAAATATTACTATCTAAAATTATTACAAATTTGAGTTTGTTGGAAAAATCAAAATACCACCACCAAGATGATATTTCTAAGTGGACATTTTCCTTCATTTTTACATTACAAAAATTTTTCTATCAAATTTTTTTTCTTAGATAAATTTTTCCTACTCCATACCAAACATGATCATTTGTAAATCTCATCAACCACTTTTCCAGTGTTTTAAAAAAATTCACCTAACAAACACCTGACAACCGGTCTCAATTCGAGTCAGACAATACTTGAACCAATTTTATTTTTATTTTTATTTTTAAAAAAATTTCAGATCTGCGATAGGATCGGCCTTGAGTTGAGAGCTTCGTTAGATTTTAGGCCTCATATTAGTAAGACAAAGTGACTTCCACATTCGATCTATTTGAATCATTAGCAGATGAAAACTAATTTTATATTTGAAAAAGTTCATTGTCGAATGGATTGAATCACGAAATTGGCACCAATATTACATACCATAAAATTATTAAAATTAAAATACCATACACATACACTACTGCCGTATACCAGTTCATTCTATGACTCCTTTTCACAGAGTAAGCTCCTAAGCATTTTAAGGTAATTTAACATCAAATCAAACACCAAAGACTTTGACCATATTTGTGCCACCAGAGACATCTGAACACAGGCAGGAAAATGTCCACTGTTCCTTTGCTTTCTTTCGTGCCAGAAAGCGTCGTTTTGCTGCAGCCAGGCAGAGCATCTTGACTTCTTTTGTGAGGATCGGGCTTTGGTTGAGAAGCTGATGGCTCTTCAACTGAACTCTTTACTTCTACAAAAGGCTCAGTATTTGGCTTCATATCCGAGGGACTGATGCTTCCATTGGAAGGATTAGAAGTTTCACCCTGATCCCCAATCTTTTTCCGGGAAGACTCCACCGGTGAACTTGAGTTACCCAATGAATGTCGCATTTCATCTGATGCATCAGTATGCTGATGCCAGTTTGATGTGTCAGGGCTCACTTCCTCGTGTGTCTCTGGAACTCTATTCTTAGCCCGATGATCAAGTTTCCTCCCTTGAGCATCTTTTGCACCATAAAATCAAGCAAAAAGTCCTTCTTCTTGATAACCTATGCAAATATTAAAATATATGTCAGTTATTTAAAATAGAGATATAGGAATTAAACTATCAACAACATGCCGATTTAATTCAAAAATATACACTCAAATGAGGGAGAAACAAAGAAAGGAAAACTGTTAAGATTGTGATTAGAGAATAATATTAGTTAGATATAGTTTTATTCTTATCTTTCTTTTTCTGTTGTAACAAACCACGTGAAGTAGTGGTGCCTTTTTGTTTGGTTCAATTTGTTACAGTTTGTTAGGAGATTCTTTTTTTTTGCATTTCACTCTCTTGTGTATATATATCAGAGATACCTTCTGTAATCAACACAATGAATATACAGTTTTTAATTCTTTCTTCTAATAAAAACATTAGACTTTTAAAATCCATTACCAATCAATCAGGTTGACAAGAAGAGATATGAAAACATCCTAATGATTATGGGAAATTTAAAAAAGCAGAAATATACATCTTTCTATCTCCTCTTGAAGTTCGCACAGGCGTTCTAGCTCCATTTATCTCTCTCGTTCAGCAAGTTTCTTTCTATATGCTTCTGTAATGAATTTGTCTTTATCAGCGTAGAGATGGTCATCTTTGCTTCTCTCTTTGGCAATCTTTTTCTCATAAACAATCACACGATACTGTTCTCGCTCCTTTGCTTTTTTCATCAGATTTTGGATATATTTTGGCTGCATCACAAAGATTACAGGTTGATAAGTACCAATGTCATTTACCAAATAACCCAAAATGAACAAATTTCAACATCAGCTCTCACAAAAGTAAAACAAGAAAATAAATTTAAACCAAATTTACCAAACTATTAAAGAGGAATAAGCACATAGGCTACTTGAAACTCACTATCAACCATTTTCACCATTCTAACAATGTGTTTACTGTGAAGCTTCACTTTAAGAGAGAAGTTGTGTCCATGCATGTCAAACACCAATACCCAGATTGACTCTAACACCTTTATACACTACAGTACTCTTGGAAAGGTTAAAATATTAAATCTTAATATATCACAATCTTGATTTTATAGAAAAGATTAAACATTAGGCATATTTTAAGTACATTTCCATATGCTACTTGATGATCTATCTATCTATCTATCAATTAAATATACCTATCAAGTATATGATTCTCTACAGAGCTATAAACATAATACAATGGTCGTTCCATTGTAATGTTTTCATAAAAAAAATGCTTAAAACTGCAACCATACCTTTCTCTCTTCAAGATCTTGTACCAGTGGACGAGTAACTTTCTCTTTCATTTTGTCATAGACTCCATCATAATCAAATATGGACGGATCTTCTTCCAAGGCTTTCTTTTGATGTTCCTCAACCTTATAAAGTAAAAACCAAACCAAAAGTAAGATCATAATGTAAACAAACAAATACTATGGTCATAATAACAACCACCAGATCAAAAAGTATAAAACACCAAGGAAGCTATTAACCAATGTCAGCTTAGTTGAGAGTTTTATTCTTGCTAACCTGCAGAGCAATTTCTCTCTCAAGGTCATTTTCATCATCATAATTAAAGTCAAAAGTGGTGGCAAGGGAAGGACTAATTGGCTGCTTCGCAGGTCTAAGGTTCAAGCCATACAGGCATACTTGCCCATTTCACCCTGTCTTCTTCACTACAATTTGAACACAAAGTAAAGCATCCATTACTTGTATCATTCCAATTTCATTTGTATCAAAAAAGCAAGCTTTGATCATTAGAGAAACACATTTAGAATAAAATTTCAACAAGAAGCCAGCTACTAGCAGCTCAAGCATCAGAATATAAGTAGAAATGTATCGTGTGTCCATAATTTTCAAGTTGCAGTAATAACAAAATAAATATGAAAACATCAAAGGGAGATAATCATTAACAATATTTCATCAGCGTCTAATGGTGAACACATAAATTTCGAAAGTTGATAGTGTACAATACAAGGTTTTGAAACCATAGGGATTTCAGGCAAGTTCAATAAACACGAGTAAAGTGCATTTTGAGCATTGGTACAAAACCCTCTCAATTCAAATCACATCGTCCACGACATTGAAGAAGGAATTACCTCGATTCTGTAAAAATGAGAGACTTCGCTTTTGCGTTAGGGCTTGAAAAATCTCTGTTCAAATCGTGTCTTTATCTTTGAGCTAAACGGAAGAGGAATACATAGGCCCAAGATGATGATGTCCACCCAATAAGAGCCTGGCCCAATACAGTTTCTTTCAATCCAAATAGCCCAAGGGCTATGTTTGCTTTCGGATATAAAGGATTTGGTTGGCTGATTCATCAAAGTAATATTATTTTAAAAATATTAAAATAATATAATTTGATCTTTTTTCATAATTTTTTAAAATTATATTATATTGGTCAATCAGTTTGATTTGATTTGATTTTTCATTTTTTTTATTAGAATATTAACTAAAAATTAAATTCTAAACTAGAAATAATTAAAAGATTTATCGTTTGTCTTGTCACAGGAAATAAAATTATTTCCAGGAATTTCAAAACTATTTTGTTTGGAGGGTTAGGAAAATTAATGAAGGATGTTTTGATAAAATTCATATAATAAATAAATAAACAAAAATACCAAAACACCCTTAGTTTTGAAAAAGATGAAAAAGAGAGAGAGTTTATATACCATTGTTTAAAATTTTAACGATATAACGAAGAAGAGTTTCCATTCCTTTGTTTATAAGTTTTTCTAAGTATATATTAAATGAGAATGATTGTAGGTTTATTATTCTTATATTGTCCTCATTTTAATACACTAACCCCAATTCAGATAGAAAGAAAAAATTATGAAATAAAAAAGGTATACAGTGGAATTGATTTTCTTTAGTTAAGTCAATTTTGTTCTGTTTCATTGGCAATCTAAACATTCAAATGCTTGATCATGAGGAGGCAAAAGATGCATATTAATTTAATAGGCTTGATCCAAATCCTATTTATTTATTTTTTTATTTAAATATTTAATTTTTTTGAGAAGATAATCGTAAATAGCTACCTGATCGCAAAATTTTATCCTTTAGAGTAGAACTATATATTCAAATAATGTTATTGCATTCGTATTAATGAATTTATGTTTGTTATAGAAATTAATATTGAAGTCAAAGGAAGGAAAAGAAAAATAATAATAACCAGTAGAAGTCAATTTATACCGTCTTAAGAAATACTCTTCAGAATAAATTATAAGTAAATGCTTTACTCATTTAGTCATTACTTGCGGGCATAAATCACGAAAATCAGAAACGTGTTTTATACATCTTAGGTTTCGCTGATGACAAAGACAATTGCGCACACGCAAAATAGATGCATGTTGCCACATGCCTGCTACAAAAGTCAAGATTGACGATTATGAGAAATATTGTTCTTTTTATAGAAACGAGTGGCCACCCACCAACGTTGGTCCCATTTTGTTAATTTTTTCCTAACACAATTCAATGAACAGATCCATGTTTCATGTTTGAAGTTTTACTATCATTTTTTATTTTCTGAAAGCAAAATGCTATCTACATAATTTTTGGATGACAAAAATAACTTCCCATCTCTTATTTTTATTTTCATGTGTAATATTACTCTTCTTGTACATCAAATAAAAATGGAGCTTAATTCACACATGTAAATCAACTCAACTATGATGATTTTCTTTCAATGATTATTTCATTTTTTATTTTACAGTTCTAAGGTCAAGTTCAATTAATTACCGTGAATCATAGGGTCTCTTCATTTTGATATACCAGCTACCCTGCTGTCTCTCTCCAGAGGTAGCTTAATTCCTCATCTTGAACCTTTCTCTTCCCTACTGGTGAAATTTGGAACTGAATATAAGTCAAAAGTGACAAAAGATTTTTCCAAGTTGGCTGCCTTAAATTTCATGCAGCCCATAACGTGTATTTGCATCCCCATTATCCAACACGGAAATCCTCAGATCATGACAACAACATAAGCCAACATTCCAACCTAAGGTTGGAGAATGTCACAAACAAATTACTACTTTTGTTTTGCCTTAATCATCATCTCTTAATTGTTCAACTCCACCTAACAATATCTAATTCTCAAAAATTTATTAACACTAACAAAGACTAAAAATGCAGCAAATTTTTGGGACTCAGGTAATTTCTTCCAATGGTTCCTAGAAACCAAATTCATGAAATTTGGAAAAGGTCATACATTGATCCCACTTGACACGAGAAGCAAATAGAGTCAAAATCCATCAGGGAGGGATTATGACTCCTTCTTTTTTGATTTTTTTTAAGAAAAAAAATCTTTCTTTTTTTATTAATTTTTTTTTTTTTGGTAATCAAAAAAACTTTTTTTATTAATCTCATTTACTTGGGCTTCTTCTAGAAGAATGTTGGAACATGTGTCCCTATTGAGATTGGAAAAGCTAGATGCAATCCCTCTAGAAACCGTGACAAACTTGAGGGGAATCCTTCTCCTTTAATAATGACCACTAACTACTAACTAGTCCCATCTGGTGGAGGCCAAAGTTTTGAAAGATCCCCATCACTGTCATAAAAATGTATCAAACAAGATATTCCAAGTTTACTTTTTCATTTTACTGTTGATAAAAGTAGCTAGGAGATGCCCTTATATTGTATCTTGTCCAACAATTGCAGTATTTGAAGGCATAAAGTGCAAGTTTTGCCTCTTGTTGCTGCAGGGTCCATGGACATGAAGGACCCTTTTGATGTCTCTTCTTACATGCTTCTTGAGGTCACTGGTGACTCTGAAGCTGATTGTAATCCCATTATGGGTGAACAAGCTCATGAAATTGATAGAGAAGATGATGATGCTCAATCTTGCAGCGATGATAATTCTGAGACTTGTAATGCTTCTGAACTCAATGTATTTGATGAGTCTTTGAATGCTGATGATGAAGATGAGAAGAAAGTTGATGGTTATGGAACTTCATATTGTGAAGATGATGAGATGCAAGAACACCATAAGTCTTGTGTGTCTGATGATTCAGGTCAAGAGTTGGTGGATGAGATGGAAAGAAATAGGCTGTTCTGGGAAGCTTGTTTGGCATCTTGATTCTATTTGTGGGGATTTCTTTTCTGAATCACTTTTCTGGATTCCTTAGTATCCCATAGGAGATTTCTTTATCTTCGCCAATATTTATTCTTTAATTTTTAGAAAGATGGGGTTGATTAAACGTGTCTAAAAGATAAAAGCTTTCAATTGTATGTATGCTTAAACTGATATGTTCACACCACACATTTTATGGTTTCTTTCCATTCAAAGGTTCATATGTCATTTCTGCACTTCGTTCCATTATTGATCACGGAATATGTATATATACACTGCAGCATCATCATAATAATTTTTTATGCAATTGTTTGGCATGTTATCAATGCTCCTATCACTTCTTATCATCCAATACCTTTAAGTGTAGCTTAATTATGTGGCATACACTTCTAATAATCTTGTTGCAGAATTGGTAGCTTCAGTTTTCTTTTGAAATTCAGATGATCACCTACCACGTTAAAGAAGATTCGGTAAAGTTAGGTACTGTTGAAAACTCCACTGATTTTCTGACTTTTAGCTGGGGAAGACACGGTGCTCACAGCAGGAAAAGTATTTGGGTTTAGTTTGGCCCCACTGACCCAAAACCCTCCCATCTTGAAGAATTTCTGAAGCTTTTAGTGAAAAATAATTGCAATGTAACGTGTGATCTTAGAATAATTGAAAATCTATTCCTGCCCAACTAACAGCTTTGCATTATATATTGTCAGGTATGATGGAATATTCAAATTTCACTATTATTCAATGGCATTTTGTCTCTAACATTAAAAAAAGGTATTTGGTCAAGTTCCTAATTTACTCTAAAGTTACACAGTAGTTGACCCTCATAAATGTTTTTCTATTGTTTTCATTCAACCAAACTTCCAAACTGAAGAGGGTGTTCACACTGCCGGTTGAGAATAAAAGGTGATTTCAATGTGAAAGGGATTCAACATGGAGCTAATTTACTCTAATCTTGTTAGCATTGTGAAAGGGATTCGACATGGAGCTACAGTGATATAATGTGGAATCAATCAAATTTTGATCTTGCACGGTATACATAGGGTGTGCATGACAACCTTTCCGAAATCAATTCTTTTTTAATTTCTGCTCCCGGGAGCAGAAATGAATAGAAAACTTATTTGATAAAATCGGTTTATATTTTTGTTCCCGGATGAACCGATTTATTTTTTGTGCTTGGGAACAGAAAAAAGAATCAAAAAATTTCTGTTTTTTTTGTTCCCGGGCACAAAATGAGAAACACTTATATCTCTCAATTACTTTTCACTGCTACCATCATCATCACCACCACCACCGTCACCACCATTATCACTGCCACCATCACCAACCACCATCGTAGTCGCTGTCATCACCACCACCACCACGACTACCGCCATCGCTGCTGCCGCCACCATGTCCTCACCATCACCATTGTCGCAACCACTGTTGTCACCACCGCCACCACTACCATTATCATGCCACCGCCACCGCCACCGCCACCATCATGTCATTATCATCACCATCATCGCATCCACCACCATTACCACCACCGCTGCCGCAACTATGCCACCATTACTACCACTGCCGCTGCCACCACTACCATTATCAAGCCATTGCCACCGCCACCACCATGTCATCACCATAACCACCACCATCGCCACCATCGATGCGGCCACTGATGTCACCACCACCACCTCTACGTCACTGCCATCACCACCACCACCACCATCACTGTCACTACCATCACCACCACCATAGCCGCAACCACTACTGTCACCACCATGCCACCATTACCACCGCCGCCGCCACCATCGCTACCATGCCCTCACCACCACCACTACCGCCACCGCCGCCGCCACCACCATTACCACCACCACCACCACGACGCCACTATTAGACCACCACCACCACACCATATGAAAAGGAAAGTGATGATCCGAAATTTTTTTATGATTAATAGGAATATTTTTTATTCTATTATTTGTTGTGTTTTCAAACGCAATTCTCATTCTCGGAATAAAAATAAAACATGTTATCAAACACATTTTTTTTCTCAGAAACTGTTCCAAGGCACAGAAATAAAAAATAATTGTTTCTTTTCAGAAATAGTGTCAGGGAACAGAATGGTTGCCATGCACACCTGACCATTTTATGCTAAACCAATCTCCCTAGATCCTAAGAATTCATCAATGCATACAACTTCCATCTATGTGAAATTCGAAAATGTATGCAGCTACTACTTATATACCATCCTGATGTATCACAGTTAGAACTGTCCAAGTACTGGGACATACTGCAGGATCAGGTTAAATTCAGCCCTAAACTGAACATAACCACCTCACAATCCACAACAAGCAAACACTTCCTACTCCACGTACTAACTAATTTACACAAGCAACTCTGCTTGTAGAGACCAAATCTAAAACAAGTTACATAAATGCTGCTTAAAAGAAGCTCAGTTCTTAACCAGATGCAAACAGTGGTACCAGTGAAATAGAATCTGTAAATTTATCCATCATCTCCACATCATAGGTGCCTGTACTTCCTATTGATGGACTACTTGTTCCCTCAGCAGTCAGAGTTGTTCTCGAATCATCTCCATAAGAGGAACTCGAGCATGAATTCCCAGTTTTGATATCAGTAAATGACATAGCACATTCCACTTTATAGCCAGAGCAATTCCTGGGGCTGTCAAACTCTTCTTGCAAATACCCTTCAGGTTCTTCTGAGAATCCTTTTGTGTTCTCATCCAACCACTTCAAGAGGCATTCCTCTATGTCATTTACAGATGCAGCCTCCTTCTCTTCCTCTTCCTCTTCATTGCTACGGCTGCAGTTAACATGATCATCATAATCTGACTTGTTCCCTCTCAATTCACCACTGATATCCATTTCTTGCTGACTGTCATACTCATCCTCAGATTGGCGATCTGATGAATGAAATGACATGGATGAATATCCTGCTGTTGCTGTTTCTTCACGTTCTCTAAGTGTCTTCAGTATCAAGGTCTTTAGTAAATTCATCACTTGGACCGCATGCATCAGAGCAGTTAGTGGATCAGACATCTGTTTCAGGAGACAAGAATAAAAAAATACGAATTAAGATTAAACGATTTCCCCCCTTTGCATAGTTATCATGTATATAAACGCTAACTGTAACAGATGATAAATGCGAATTACGCGATTACAAGCAAGTTTGCAACTCGTTCGGTTATAAATACTTCATATGTCTTGTGTATAAGAAGATAAAAGATGATATATGAACTGTTTGGGTGATGGAGATGAATATGTTTCCAATATAACAACATCTACGAGGCAAAGGTATGAACATAATTTCAATGGAGAGTTACTCTTACTATTGTTGCAGCGTAACGGCTCTGTCAATGGTGTGTAAAAGGTGTCTTTTTCATATAGGTGAGGAATATTCCCAAATGATAAGTGAAAGGATGAGCCATAACTATTTTTTTTTTTGAGCCCACTAAGTGTGAGGCAAGTAAGGGTTGCAATTGGGGTTGACACATATTACATAAACGAGTAGGGTTATATTGATAAACTTTTTTTTTTACAAACTTATAAACTACATTATGTTTGACCGGTAATACTTTATTCAAGAGTGTATTACCTGTCAGATATAGTATAGTTTGTAAGAGTTTGTTAACAAAAAGTTTGTAAATATAATTTTCCCCTACATAAATTTGAAAATAGGTCAAAAACTTTAATATGAATATAACCCATTTATTTTGCGAGTTGACAAAACACGGCATGAATAACCCACCAAATTCAAAGTGTGTCACTTAATATTTTAGTTGACCCGACAGGATACAACACGAATAACCTGTCAACCTCAAAGTATGTTGCTTATTATCCGAGTTAACACGACACTAATAACATGTAACAAAAAATTAATGAACATCAATTTCATGTTTGTGGGTGGACACACGACATACATGAATTTTTTCGTGTTAGATTTTGCCAACACAAACATAACACAAATTTGAAAATAGGTCAACACAAACATAAATATTTTATGTCATGTTCGTGACGTGTCAGCGAATCAAGTTGAAAATTGTCATCGAGCCAAGCACACTCAACTAGTGCATAAGGTGTGCTATGCATTGGGAGTGAAACTTTTTGTGATGAAGGTCTAAAAATTTCACTTTAAGGATGCAGGAACATAATTCTTTACATGGGGCCTTAGTAGTCGGTTCAATGGACCGGGCTTGTATGACTGGTCAAGAATAATAGACTATTCTATTTTAAGAAAACTCCATTCATTTACCAAAAAAAATAATGATGAGATAATTAACTTGTAAAATAAAAGAATAAAAGCATAAAAGAATGATTAATTAAAATAATTAATAACTTAAAAGTTTAAACAGAAAAATAGTAAGGAAGCATACCTGAGTCATATTTGGAGCAAAAACCATTGCAATATTTCTTGCATCCATCTTATTATACTCCTCTTCTTCTACAACATCAGCCATGAGATCAATAGCCCAGTTGAGCAAGGCTGACTCAGTTGGCTTTAGCTGCTTCACAAGGTGAACAGATTCTTCTTCTGTGTTGCACTGAAGAACTTGCTCTGGAGAAAGTCCATCTAGCACTCCTGAAGGAAGTTCTCGGAACCAAGCTTTAATTAGGCCTGCCAAGCAATGAACATCAATGTCATCTGGCACAATGCCCCTATTCAACTGGTCCCTCAAATGCTCCTCTTCACTGTTTTCTGGGTTTATCCGAAATATACCTTCAGCCTGAAAATTCATTGAGAAGAGACAACAAAGTGATAGTTAATTTCATTATCTGAAAGAGACTGCTTGCAAGGCCACAGTGCTATAAATGACAATATAGCATAAATTCGGTACCTACCTTTAGTCCTCCCTGTGAGTATAATCGCTCCTGCATTAGCAACAGAATAGTGGGGACACTGTTTCCTTTCGAATCATAAGAACACTGCATTGATTCTGCTGAGACGCCAAACACACTAACACTGCAAGTATTGACGATTGCAAATCACGTTAGAATATGGATAAAGATGTAATCGTGCTAGATAAGGAGGTTTAGAGAATAAGAAAAATTAGAAAAAGAAAAAGAAAACATGATTTAATAACTTTTCAAAAATTAATTGTAGCAAATGGCTCATAACTCCTAAGAAACAGTAAATAAAGATAGAATAGTACATAGTTCGGTGAATTTATACTAGGCATTCTAATTCATACTTAATTGTAAAGATCATCAATCCTAATCTAAGTTCTATCTGGAGCTAACAAAGCATACATTCCACATGTGTCCCAAACTCAAAAAAATCACAAGCTTCCCCATTTTGCAATTATAAATCAAAGAAACTTGCTTTAACTAAGTAGCACAACAAGGCTTGCATTCATGAGCTAAACGCAAAAGCCTAAGAAAATATGAGAACTTTTAAAAACCTATATTTCCGTTAGGTATGCTTTTCAGCAAATAAAGGCAAACCTTATTGAAGGATATATGTGCAACCCCAATGCTCTCAAGAAATGTAGAAGAGCATCTTGCCGTTAAACTGTTTACTTCACTAACCTTAAAATTCAGCTAAAAATAAAACCATGGCTTCTATGAAAGTCTTCATCTCTCTCTCTCTCTCTCCCCAACATACACACACAGAAAAACAGACCCACCAACAATAAAATCTCTAGGTACCAAACAAAAAAACAAAAAAAAAATGTTTTTTAAGCATTTTAAGCAAACCCCATTTTGAATGGAACAAAACCAAGTAAGGTATGATGAAAAAAAATGCAAAGAAAGAAGTACCTAGCACTGGGAACCCGACCGGGAATATCAACCTCTAACTCAACGGGAAGACCCAGAAAGCCATTGAAACGATCGAAAGTGACATGACTTATGTGCTTAACATTGGTGGGCCATCCAATCTCCATGGGATGCACGGCGGAGATGACATCATCAGGAGATTCAACACTGCAAGCCACCATGGATTTTCTGAGAGCCGCCAAGACAACCGCCACCGGTGAGAGCTGGTTTTGTTCTTCTTCGGTGACTCTCTCCATTCTCCTCCCCTTCTCACCACCGCATCCACCACCCTTTGTCACCATCACTGGCCCTGTCATTCTTATCTTCTTCCACACACACACAGAGAGACACAAACACAAACACAAACTCTCTCTCTCTCACTTGCTCTTCTTCCTTTCTCTCTCCTGCGCACGAGTAGAGACAGAATTCTTAAATTTGAGGATGAGTTTCCTCGTTTGCCAATGTGTTTTGTTGTGTTGCATTGAAGTTATTTGGTAGTTTATGTAGCTCTCTCGTGAACTTTAAACTTCAACGGCCACTTGTTTCAAATTTCGTTTTATATACTTTATCTACAGTACACCCTGTACTTTTTATTAACACAACCGTCACTCAACATTAATCTTCTAAGCAAATCTTAAAATGGATTTAACTAATCAGAATTTTGTTTGTTAAATCTTAAAACTGTATATGTAATAGCATTTTAGAATTTTAAAAATACTAGATTCTTATAGAAACAAAAGCATATCTAAGCTGAGGGACCAATAACGGAAATGAATTCATTAACATTAAATTTTTTATTATAAAAAAGTGGGGCCTATCTCATTTGCAACTTGCTAGTATGAGTTGTGAAAATAATGGCACATGAACTCAATAGCTCGGAGTGGGACATCAAATCCGTTAACTCGTTTTCTTTTAATACAAGTGGCTTATAATGGTTTGATTGGTCCACCAAAAAAGATGGAATTAAAGAATATCATTAAGCACATGTACTTGTATTTGATGACTGATGTGGTTGGTGCAAGGACAAATTACCAATTTCCAATAAATTATGGAAAGCAATCCCCTTCTCATACAGTGGAATTCGAATTTATGGAAGACCGTTACAAAATAAAGAAAGATGATTGTTTTTCTATGGGGACTTAGTGGGGGAGGAGCTCCTTGTTATGAAGGAGATTATTGTGATGGGCCTATAGCGGAGGATCTCATCTTTTTCTTTTTATTGCTTCATATTATTATTGGAGACAACTTTTGTTTGCCAACAAGTATTGGTCCTTTTTCACCTTATCTTAAATGCTTTATGAGAAGCGTGATGCACTAATTAACGTATCCGTTACAACCCTGTCGAAGATAAAAAAAAGTTGCGAAAAAGGTAGTATCTTGATATATAGTAGTAGGGTTGTGCATATGTTAGGTCGGGTCAGGTTTTTGTCCGACTTGACCCAATTTAGTTTTTATAGGTCAGGTATTTTGACCCGACCCGCTTTAATTTGATTCAAGCCAGGTTTGACTTGTATTAGATTTTGTTGAACTAGTTCAGAACCAGTTTGGATCTGACCTGACTTGGTTTCTGAAGTGAGTCTGAGTTGGTTTCTGAACTGGGTCAAATCTGACCTGACCCGTTTTTGACTTGGTTTTCTAACAAAATTTTGTCAAAATTTTTACGTTGCAAAAGACGAAAATTTCGTCACAAAATTATTTTTTCGTCAAAATTTTTACAAACAAAAATTTTTCTATTGAAATTTAGTTTCCGTCAAAAGTTTTGACGAAAATGATTTCTTCCATCAAAAGTTTTAAACGAAAAAAAGAATTTTGTCAAAAATTTTGACAGAATGTTTTTCGTTCAAAATTTCGATGGGAATGTGTTCTGATGAAAATTTTGACGGAAATTATTTCGAGGGAAATGTTTCATTTGAAACTTTCAACGAAATCTAGATTCTCTAAAGAATTTTGACATAATATTTTTTTCGTCAAAAAGTTTTTTTTGTCAAAAAAATTTACGGAAATTTTTTATAGAAATGTGTTTCGTTGAAAATTTTGATGGAAATTTTTTATCAAAAAACTTGTCGAAAATATTTAGTTGAAAATTTTCGATGGAAATGTGTTTCGCTAAAAATTTCGACGGAAATTTTTTTGTCGAAAACTTTTGCCGAAATTTGAAATCTATAAAGAATTTTGTTGAATTTTTTGCCGTCAAAATTTTTTGATAACGAAAATGTTTCCGTCGAAAAATTCCGCCAAAATTTGAAATCTGTAAAGAATTTTGATGAATTTTTTTGCCGTCAAAATTTTTTGAAGAAGAAAATATTTTCGTCGAAAACTTTCGCCGAAATTTGAAATCTGTAAAGAATTTTGATGAATTTTTTTGTCGTTGATATTTTTTGCCGTCAAAATTTTTTGATGACGAAAATGTTTCCGTCGAAAACTTTCGCCAAAATTTGAAATCTGTAAAGAATTTTGACGAAATTTTTTGGCGTCAAAATTTTTTGCCGTCAAAATTTTTTGATTACGAAAATATTTCCGTCGAAAACTTTCGCCGAAATTTGAAATCTGTAAAGAATTTTAATGAAATTTTTTGCCGTCAAAATTTTTTTTATGAAAATGTTTTTCGTCAAAATTTTCAATGGAAATTGTTTTGAGGAAAATGTTTCATTTGAAACTTTCGACGAAAATTAGATTCTCTAAAGAATTTAGACAAAATATTTTTCTGTCAAAATTTCTTATCGAAATAGTTTTGTCAAAAAAATTTACGAATTTTTTTTACAGAAATGTGTTTCGTTAAAAATTTTGATGGATATATTCTTTATCAAAAAACTTGACAAAAATATTTAGGGGAAAAATTTTGATAGAAATGTGTTTCGCTAAAAGTTTCGACGAAATTTTTTTTTTTTTCAAAAAGTTTAACGAAAATGTTTCTGTCGAAAGCTTTCGCCGAAATTTGAAATCTGTAAAGAATTTTGATGAAATTTTTTTCCGTCAAAGAATTTCGATGAAAATGTGTTTCGTCGAAAGTTTTTATGGATATATTTTTTTGTGAAATATTTTGACGAAATTTAGATTCCGTAAAAAAATTTGACAAAAAAAATATTCCGTCAAATTTTTTTACCGATATGTTTTTAGTCACAAATTTTTGCGAAAATTTTTATGAAAATATTTTCCATAAAAAATTTTGACGTAATTGTTTTACGTTAAAACTTTTCTTTTAATGTAATTGTGATTTTTTTTTCTCATAATGGGTATGGGTCAGTGGGTCAAATTTTAAAACGAGTCAGGTCTAAAACTGACCCAAATAAAAGTGGGTCAGTATTTAAACCAGTTCAAAAAATATGGGTATTTATTGGTCGGATCAAGGGCAGAGCAAGTGAACCAGTTTTTTCGCACACCCCTATATAGTTGTATATATTATAGTTAGTAAATAAAAAACTTATAAATATAAACCTACTAAATTTATACTTGCATGCCTAGTTTATCTAATTTGTGGTAAGTGATCAGATCAATGTTGAATTAATATATATATATATATATATATATATATATATATATATATAAATTAGTTATTTTTATCAAGTTAAAACATCAATTATCAATTATATTTCCCTTAGTTATAACTTGATAAAACCTACTTACAGAATTTGCATGTATGGTACCTAACATCATTAAGTCAAAAACTTGTATATGCACTTAGTTGAATGTTTAGAATTTGTATAACGGAGAAGTTCGTTTATTCGAATTAAGTATAGGCCCAACAGGACGAGTCCTCCTGTAGTCCTGTTGCTTGAAGGGGCCATGGACCCTGCTCCAAGTTTGTTTAAAATTTTGATTTTGTATGTTTTTTACTATTTTTTGTTTGGGAAAAAAATAATTAAACTCTTCAAACAATTTTTTTTATTTGACTCCAATTAAAGCAGTTTAGCTTTTTTTTCCCGCCGTGAACCAGTTTCTGCCATTGAGACCTAACTATAAATTAGAACTAACATAAATAACTGTTCACTTATATTACAATTTTCGAATATTAGGAGTGTGCATGACAACCTTCTCGAAATGAGTTTTTTTTTTAATTTCTGTTTCCGGGAATAAAAATGGATGAGAAACTTGTTTGGTAAAACCGGTTTATTTTTAATTTTCCCGGATGAACCGGTTTAATTTTTGTGTCGAGAAACAAAAAAAAAAAGAATCAATAAATTTCTGTTTTTCTCATTCTCGAAAAAAAAAATAGAATCAGTTTTTTCTCGCTCTCTCGCTTCTTCATACCCCTCACACATCAACACCAAACCATGAGCCTTCAACATATCAGCAGACCACAACCCTCCTTTGTAACACCCCGTTCTAGAACCGGTTTGTTAACATCGCATTATGATATTAAGCGCAGTTACAATCACATGGGTTCAATTAAAATCCGGATAAATTTTTCATTTTAAAACATACCGAACTTCAAATGCCCAATTGCGTGATCATAACCATATTACTTTGCGGAATCAGATAAACCAAGCTTAACATCATGTTCTTATTCTATTTTTAAACCATTAATTTACTTCTTATTTATTTTCCAACTTCTACTATATTGTAGATATCTTCGTTAGCTACGCGTGGTTTCAAACCGCTCCTCATTTGGAGCTTTGTAGCTCAAGTTATGACAATTTTGCTAACTCAGGTGTATGCTGAAAAACTACGCGGGAAGGGCGCTTAAGCGCCCACAGACAGAGGGAATTCACATTTTTTGGCCACCCAGGGCGCTTAAGCGCGCTACCTGGGCGCTTAAGCCCCCATTTTGGGCGCTAAAGCCCCAGGCGGCAGAAAGCTTTTGGTCTTCACAGGTGCATCAGGGCGCTTAAGCCCCCTGAGCAGGCTTAAGCCTCCATTTGCAGGCTTAAGCCCCCTCTTCTGGGCAATTTCCTATACTCATATTTTTCATGTATCTTTCTTGGGGAATCAATCCTACACATTTTACAACCTATTTAACAAGCTTGCGATATCCCTATGTCATTGCTTAACTCTCATCCTCTCATCATTGATTTAACGGAAATTGGGCAGCATAACCTTTGTTTTCTCCACGTTTCCCAATCTAACAGCTTAGCTCCTAATAGACAATTCAGCTCAACATTTTCAATATTCATCATGCATTCATAACCTTGAAGTAAATAACATTACACAAGTTTAATTACATAACGGGGAACTTAGCTACAAAAGGCTATGACCATCCCTTGGCTCTCATCAACAAAAGAGATATCCAATGGCATGATCATAGGCTATGTCCATCAAATATAACGAGATATACATACGTCAATGCTATCAATGATCAATCCTATACATGTAAATCTAC